GTTTGTTTTTGTGAGAGTGAATCCTGAAAAATATGCAAATTAGCATCCAAATTAGACCGCCATGCTTGCCTCTGAGCCTGGGGAGAACACTGCAAACCACCCTCTGACTTTCAATTTGGAACATTGCAACACATAACTATGGTTAATAATAAGAATTTTACGTCACTTTTTAATCAGGCTTGAACCTTCCTATTGTTTAATATGCAATGGGCTTGATGACTCAGTGGACTCAGTCAACTTACAAACAACCTCAAGGGGGAAATATGCAAATATATTTTATGACATTAATAATACAAGCATGATGAATTACAACATATATTTATATATCAGAGTTTATGAACTAATACATTTATTATGAAAACCAGTCAAGCTATTTTATTTCATTTCAAAATCATTTATTATGGATGTTCAAATAACCTGTTACGATATCATTTAAAACAAATGCTCAAATATTATCAATATGCTAAACATTTTGAAAAGCTGGTAGTCTATAATTTTTTTGGTAGTTTGAAGCCATCTATTGAGTTGTGAATACATGTATTGTATCAACAGAAATCTTGAAACTAAATCCGAAATGCTGATATGTAAATTAGATGTAGCAGAGTTAACAATATTCTGCATGTATCAAAGTGATGACTACCGGTAGATTGCGGGCAAGATCATCAAAGTTGTATAAAAGATTTCACAGTAAAACCTGACTTTTTTTAAAAAAAATTTCCACCTGGAATTCTACAATCAACACTAATTTCAGTTCGAACTGAGCATGCCCAGGGGCAAAATTATGAGATGTGTTTGTTTAGAATATCTCTCCTCAAATTCGAGTTTGAGTAGCCATGTTTGTTTTGACTATGCACAGGATTACTGCAGCTAATACTTGGCATAGAAACAACACAAATTTTCTCTGGTATTTGTAAATAACTGTCTCTTAACTGAAGAAAATTAATACATTTTTACTACAAGCAGCTGTTAACAAACAAAATTTGATTCAACAGAAAAATAACTCAATACGTAGTAAAAAGTTTCAAGAAAATGCTTTACTCAGAGTATTCCAACTGCAATCTGAAGATGACATTGGCAGATTGCCTGTATCATCCAATAAAAATGACAGGACCATAAATAACATTGTGTAGATTACACAGCACGCACCGATAGTGACTAACAATTCCATTAGAGTGCATTATTATCAGTGTTTACATGTAACGTGTTAGCAGACAAATACTTGTAGGTCACAGAGGCCACCTTTGCCTTCTAGACGCCACACCTGACTGTCTCAGTATTTGACAAAAGTAAACACACATCACAATTTCAACTCGCAACATTTTTAGATGTAGAAATCATAATACTTTGAAATACTAAATGACAAAAAAGTAATCATTCAGCCATCTAAAATCAAAACTCAAAATAAAAACAATGTATTAAAGTGCCTGTGAAATGGCTGCTATTTTCATGCCTAAAATTATCCATTGATACATAAATAATATTAATTTTTATGTTTCTAAGCATGAATTATTTTTTTTAAGTGAAAAAATGTGTTTTAAACTCAGTCTATGACAACTTTATTTTTGTGTATTTTAAAACGAGGCTCCTCATTAGCTTCTCATTTGCATAGAGAAATTCCCCTTGTGATGTCAAAAGGGGAAGTCGCATGGCAGCTTGCATTGCCGATGCATGTAAATAAGGCAAATTTCTTGTGCAGTTTTCTCGTCTTTGACTAAATTGTCACTTATGTACTTGTTCGTCGGGAAAGAATGGACCATAATGAACTCATAGTATCAATTTTTGTTGCATGGGGTTGAGTTAGATGCGAAATAAGAAGCTGGTCACCGTGATCGTCACCGACTTTGGCACACGTTTGTACACTGTTGCTGGACAAAATAGAATTTGACGTCGGAATTATCTCGTTATTTAGCAGGTTACTAGGCACGTCACTACACTGTTTTATTTCATCGATCATCTGAGTAAAACTTTCAAAATTAAAATAAAAGAGAACATATTTTGACATTCTAAACATTGGACTATAGTGATCACTATAAAATAATTAAAAAAAAACGACAAATCACAGTTACTAAATAAATGACAGCCATGTGGAAATAAATTAACATTTTGTTGAAATAGGTGAATGCGTTGGGTCACGGTGAGGGCAAGTGCGTTAAAAGCGACGTTTAATTGGATAACAAAAATAATCGAGATCGACACACATACAGATAAATTCAGAGTGGATTCGAGTTAGTGTGATCCATGGCGTAATTGTCATAATTATAACATCGTATTAAAATTTTATTTGGTGGAAAGCCGACCAAGCCCGGATTCTCATTTCATAAATTATTACGCAGATCAAGCTGCAAGCATGGAGGTAAACAAAGAACAGAGGTGTGAATTTGACATTCAACACCAATCCCCAAACAATTCAGAAACTGTTAGCCTTCGAAAATGAAAACAATTAGCAGTGTGTAAGGGCTGTGTAATTTCCTGTTCGTTCGACGCTTAGTTTTCGTGTCACTGTCAAAATTATTGCTACCTTTTACTTAACAGGGACTAAATAGTATCTACAAAACGATAATCAGGATCGAAAAAAAAAATCAACTCATTTGAAACGCTTGCCGGACGTCTCTCTCTCTCTCTCTCTTCTGAAATCCGCCTCGGTTTTCATGGACGAGAACAGTTTTTCCAAAAAAAAGAATCTGAGGTTAAGTGATGTCGCACCTTCAGATCGATTAGAAACGTGTGAATACATACACTATGACTATATGTTTCACTGCAACTGCCCACAACACAACATCTAAAAACTCTCTCTCAAAAAAAAAAAAAAAAATAGACAAAAAAAAAAGAAGAAAAAACAACAACCGAAAAAATGTATATCGTTTAAAAGTGTACTGAATGACCAGTGTTATTACGGCTCAGGGGTATGACCTCCTATCACATTTTTTCATTTGGTGGCGCACTTTCGGCGAGAGTCGGAAATCCGGAAACAGTCAACCGTTTCACGATAGGTGGGCGTGGCTACAACACGAGAAATATCCCAAATTTACTTGGATACGAGTAATCATTTTCAGCAAAAAAATCAATAACTGCCCATTTCAGTGGGACACAGATCTAAAATGGGAAACGTGAGGGTGGGCATTGTACAGGCACTTTAAACACCACTGTTTTTTCTTTAACCAAAAATAGCCTAATTTGCAATAATGTGTAGAAAATAATATCACTATTTAACACAATGCCTGGTTCAAAGTCACTGATTTATATGTTACCAAAATAACAATAACAAGTATGAAAAATATACAAGGTGATTATTTTATGTAGCCAAAAAAATATGATTTGTCAAAATAAAATACATGTAAACCATAACAAGTTTTTTATTTAATTTTTGGCATCAGTACTTGTCCATGAAGAAGAACAGTATGATATGGTCGTTTACAATATGTGTGTGTATTACAATGGAGCTATTGAGGAATTTAAGGAAAAATACTGGCAACTAGCAGAATAAACTAATATGCTACGTTCTCAGAAAATTTGCCATGAAAGAAACCAAATAAAGTGAAAAAGTATGTGGAAATGAAAAATAAATACATTCACAATATTATATTCAATTACAAACACTCATGGTCAACTAATCTGACAGCCATGTCTGTTTTTCTTGCTTTCCACATTCAGTACAGAAACACCCAGAATGCACCATTTCCCTATGCAACTTAGATGCTAAATCATACGGCACTAACAGGTGGCATTCCCTCCAGGGGCCTATCCAAGGATCCTTTCAGAAAGAATGATAAATTTATTGTTTATTATTGTAACTATGACCCCCCCCCCTCCAATTAACTAATGACAATTTTCGTTTACCATGTGCCAGACTAAGGGGAACATTACAGGACTTTGGGGGGGGGGGGGATTACCAGCTTTCATGACTCTTTAATCACTTAAAGAGATATGGATTATTTCAGAACTACAACATTGAGTTCATTGTGAGTAATAACAAATCAGAAGAAGTGCAAACTATATTGTGTTGTTCACCATACACTGTGAAAACGACAAACCAACCAGCCCTAGACAAAGAGAAAACACCCCCCCCAAAAAAAAACTATTGTACCAGTCGTGATGCAATGCAATAAAGGTCGCCTTTTACCTACATATTTTAATAAACAACATCTTTATTTTAAAGTTTAAATCTATAAAACATCCTGAGCATATACCCAGAGCTCCACTCATTAAATGTCTAAAAATAATGGGTGGGTGGTACTATTTGTACAGTGTAATTGTGGGTGGTATTCAAATAAAAGTAGCTAGATTTTTTTTCTATTGTCCTTCAATTGTTTTCCATTGCTATATATGCAAATTAAATATGCTAATTGGCCGTCCTCCTTGTGGAGAACACCAAAACCCACATGCATGTCTTGTGTGAACTTTGAACCTCAGACCATTAGTGATCCGAGTTGAAACCATTGTGATCTGCAAGTACAAACATATGCTGCGTAATGTAACTCACCATCAGAGGTTCTGTGTCTTTCTGTTTTTGTACGTCATCGTAACTTGGTAAAGTGGATGCTATGTTGTAAGGAGGTGGATCTGTATCGTCTTTTGGATCTTCTGTAGACATAGAAATGAAAAAGGCCATTGCTGAATACAGTATTTACTCTATTAGAAGTGCATTTCTAATTAAAAGCAAATAACACTGGTAATTGTCAAATCCATGATTCCTCGATTCAGTTTACACTCATGGCCAATCACACAACCGTATTTGTTGGTTCTAATTTACAGCTCGAAAATAATTGCACTGCCAAAACAATTTTATTTGAGTGTGATATTTAGCAATTCTTGTTGCAATCAAGTTCACCTTATTATCAAATAAGTTACAAAATTTAAAAAGAATATATTGTATACCTATTTTGGTGCATGAAATATTGATAAAGTTCTTTACCACTACAATAGAGCAAATACGGTACAAGGTTTCCCACTAGACTATAGCAACTGGAAATGAGAATCAATCTACCGTAATTACTTTAGTAACACATACATGTAGTGATGTATCCATAGTCAAAACAATTTGAATGATACTAATGTATTATATAAATTTTAGCTTTATGTTCACTTTTGTTAAAGATATGCTTCCAAATAGGAGAAAATGTGGTAAATATAATACCGTATTACCCCGGGCACGCGCCCAGGGGCCTGAACATACAAAATCGGGACAAAATTGGGGGTGGGCGCTTACCCGAGGAC